CATTCACTCTCACTTGTACAGATTAAATCGACGCGATCAACGTTTCATACCACGGTGCGTCCTTGTTCCCTTGCTCTTCTGCCTGCATTCCCTTGCTGACGCGCCTCGTTCACTAGCATTGGATACATACACGAATGGGTTCAAGGTCTAAGATGACCGCCGCGGCGACGGCAACACGGTCAAGGTAAAATATGACTGTCGTGACGAAGACTAATCCAATGCGGTTCAAGCCAGGTACTACAGCCGCGAATAGGGCTCAATACTCGAACGCTATCGACAAGTATTACCATCGTGCCTTCACTCTGACGTGGTTATGAGCAGTTACGACAAGCGGAGTGCATCCTGCTCCCTTGGCTCCTCTACTCCAATCCTCCTATTTAAATGAGACTCTGATGTGATCAAAGTGAAGTACAGCACCGTAGTAGGGGTACGCCGCGAGTAGCGCCATTTAGACGAGGGAGGAGCCCTACTTTGATGCCATCAAAGTCAAGTAGAACTGTCGCGATCATCTAACTTGCAACGTTTCAACCTCAGCACTGCCCTCTTACTGCTGTTCTGATCCGCACTGCAGACGAGGAGTGCACCAGCACCATTAAGGTTAAGTCTGAGCGTCACGACGAGGCCTGCATTTACGCCATCAAAGTCAAATGCGACTGCCGCAGTAAGCCGTGTCTCTTCCCTACTCAGTCCTAGCACAGCACGCTGACTACACTCGGCAAGGTACACATTGACGTGATCAAAGCCCGGTATGGCTGAGAGAACCATCTCCTTTTGAGATGGATGAACATATCATGAATCGTCATGACATCAAAAATATAGTCATCCACTTGAGGAGGAAAGTCATCTGAGCACCTCATGCGGGGGCATCGAAGCTGCTGTGATGCCAATGCCACATGCACCTTCGTTGTATTTCCAAAGACCAACGCATTGATTTTTGGACTGATGAACTGCGTCCACCTGATCCACATTGGTCTCGTCTCCAGATGAAGACACGTCTACATCAAGCTAGAGTCTCGCACCAGAAGAGCGGGGGCCGGAGGAGTGTACTGTTTTGTACTCTGAGCGAAGCGCTTAGCTGGCTAGGATTACGATTTGGTGTCATCGTTTGCTGCCAGAATTTCTGTCAAAATCCGGCACCTAGTCCGAGATCGACATCTGGTGATCAACTGTGCTAAATTGCCGCCGGAAGCTGGCCTGGATGCAGAAGCAATGTGGTACAACAGACATGCCCAACTTCGGCTACACATTTTGCACCACTCATTTCTGTACAACGCCCACGTCTCTGCCGTACACAGCCTTGGACTAGGGCGCGACACCACGCATTTATGGGTTCGTTTTGTCTTTAGCCACGTCTGTAATCCCTGTGATATCATATTTACTAAAGAGTCCTTTGATACAGGCACTATGGTCTAATAGACTATTGGGTAATACCTAATACCTCCTTCTAGTCTTTCACTACAAATTCTAAACCGTGGAGTACCTATCGGAGGAATCCCCATGATCCGGGCACGCTCGGGGTGTCGGTTACGAAAGCTGGTGGAGACAGCATAGCTATCTGGATATCTGAACCCGTCCGCTACTCAGTACAGTCCATCAAGATTAAAAAAAACCCGCCCAAGGCGTACTAGTCGGAAAAGAGCCAAATCCTCCGCGCCGAAGTCTTGCAGATGAGATAAGTTCTAACAACCACAGTCCGCGTATTCCGTAGTGCTCACTGAATAACGTCTGCCCCCCCAACAAGGCCCCCCCCATCTCCATCCCATTTTGAAGTTGGCTTACTTTTTCTCGAACCTGCCCACCATGTTTCTCCCGCATGCAAAGTACATACGCATCACCCAAAGCGACCCGCACGACTCTGCCGAAAAGCTCATCGTCCAACCTGCGGACGTGGACAACAATGATCTCTGCAAGTGCGGGTGCCATTGTTCCACATCTCGGTGCAGCTCCTGGCTTTGGCTTGCGATCACCGCCGCGTTCTCCATTGTGGCTCTCGCAGCTATCCTCAAACTCACCCGTCACCCATCTGATGCACAATGTGCGAAACGCCTCTCCACATATTGTCCGTTCACCCGTCCACAGCCCATCTCGACACTCCCGCTGACCTTGCCTTACTAGCACCCGCCCTCGAAGCAGTAGCTTACCATTCAGTGGATTTCAATGGCTCCTTCCGCTTCCCATCTGAATACCGTGGTGCACCGAGCCCTGCAATCGATGCTGCATGGGATTACATCACCATGAGACGTATGTACAATGCTCTCTTTTCTTTTCCCTGAGGCTCACCATTGCGCCCTTAAGCGGGAGTACTCCGTATTGCTCCGGAAGACCTGGACAAACTTGGAAAGCCTGTGACCCCGTCTCTTGTACGCTTCCAGGACGCCGACGGTGGCGGCTACATGGGCTCTGTTAAGTTTACCCACCAGCTCCACTGTCTTGTGTGTCCTGTCTCCATCCGTGTCCTCTCCCATACAGTCCACTGACACCCCATCCCCAGAACACGCTGCGCATGTACAGCTACCGCGAGTACTATGACGGCCGCGTTCCCATGTTTGATGCCCGCCCGGAGACCGTCCGCACACATGTCGGTACGCCACCTGAATCTCATTCCCACTTGCTGGCCTCACGCGGCTGCCTAGACCACTGCATCGAGATGCTGCGCCAGACGCTCATGTGCCACGCAGACACCGGCTTGCTCACGTACGACTGGGTCGTGGGGCACAGCACGCAATACCCCGACTTCAACACGCGACATGTCTGTCGTGACTTTCCGCGTCTCCTCCGTTGGGTGTACGACCACCAGGCACACATACCCGAGAGACGTGTCATGCGTCTCGAGGATAATGTGGACTTGGAAGGGGAGCCTTAGGAGAAGTGGTTGATTGGCCCATGTGCGAGTTGTGTACAAGAACGTAACTGGATTGCGGAATAGCATATACTGTTCCTGGTTGCGAATAGGATAGCCCAATTGACTGTGTCATTGTGACCGAGAGTCTGAGAGACGCTTGCGAGACTTTGCGCCCTCGGCTACGTTCTTCTCTCTTTTATTCTACCATTCTTCAATAGCCTAGCCCTACGTAGACGCGGGTTTCGAAATCAACGTGCCTCCTAACTCCAAACAAAAGAGGCAATCCGCGACACCATTTTCATTTCATCTATACATTGAAAGCCTATTCTATATAAACAGCCCAAAACCTGCTTAAATTTACAGATAGTCACTAGTATGTAAATACAGCAGCACTGAGAGATTCCAGAAGCGACAATGGTCAGTCCGATTGTTTGGGTTGGGAGACCCCCATACCACCGAAAGTCAGCACGCCGCTGAGATCGACGTCGGCGATGGAGAGCTCGCCGTCACCACCTTTCCTTGTGGCCTGGATGCGCTCGAGAGGAACACGAACACGGTTCGTGTGCTCCCACTCCTGGATCTTTGTAAAGTTGCGACACTGGTGGAAGGTGTTGAAGTCGGGGAAAGGCTTGGGGATGCCGGCGACCCAGTCGTACGTGATGAGCACGATGTCCGCGTGGCACATGAGATTCTGGCGGAGCATCTCGAGGCAGTGGTCTACGGGCGTGGTCAGCGATGGAGAGAGCGTGAGCGCGGGCAAGACGCACCCATGTGCTCACGGAAAAAGCGCGGGCGCGCGGACATGATGTCCTGAATCTCAGGGTAATGCTCGAGGTAGGAGTACTTGCGGAACATGTTCTATGTGCAGGAGGATTTAGCAGCATACAAAGATGAGCTGTGGCAAACACTCACAATGCAATGCAGGTTGTGAAAGAGGTCCATAGCGCCCATGCTTCCCCCACCGTCATCAGGAAGGAATCAGACGTTGGATGGCCAGTGGTTGTCATCGAGGCCGAGGCGATACAGGAATTTGTCAGGGATGTGGATTGGGAGAGCTGTGGGGCTGTTAGACACGTTAGTCACGAAAAACGCGAGCACGGACAGCCGGTGTTGTCGGTGATCTCTGCCCAGGCGGCATCAACTTTGGGGCCAACGCCAACGTAGGGGGAGCAGAAGCCGATGGTGCCGTTGAAGCGGACGAGGCTATACTCAATGGCAGGGTACACAGGAGCTGCAGAAGCGAGTCAGCGGAGGTGTATACGCATGTAAGAGGACGCACAGTGCGCATCCAGAAGGTCATCCCAGTTGGTGCGTTCTGGGAGGTGGGAGTAAAAGAGAAGTGAGACGAAAACAGTAAGATTGAGGAAGAGCAGGAAGGCGTGGAGGAGCCAGAGTCGGAACCCCGCTGAGGAGTGACAGTGGCACGCGCAGACACCATTGTCGTCGATGTCCATGAGCTGAGCTAAGGGTTTCCTGGAGGATTCGTGGGGGTCACCTTGTGCAACGGGCAAGTACTGTGCAGATAGAGGAGACATGATGGGAGTACGATGCTGGATGGACTAATCGCAGGATTGGAGTGAGGGCGAAAGTAAATGCGCACACGCACACGCTAGCCAGTGAGCGTTGCGGGGACAGTCGTAGGGTCATGCACAACTGGTTAGTGAGAGTCAAGCGTTCAAAATAGGGAATAGTCACCGGTAAACGATTGTGGAATCTGGACGACTGTATAATGCCGAACGTGGAACTAACGGCCTGACTGCGTAAAACAAGCGAGAGAGAGGGTTAGTTAAGGATGGGCGCATCAAGCTGGCCATAACGTAACGCTCACATCAACAGGTAGAGTGCTCCTCCATTGCGTTAGGCGAAGACGTGAGCGTCCATCAATTATCTGCAGCTGTAAGAATGTCATGGAGGGCTTGCGCGCACATCACCATTGCTGCTCGAATATTTGAAATACGAAGAATCGCTTTTGATGCTCCTCTTGATCTTGTTGGGAGGAATTCCACTTGTCTCGAAAAGGTAAGTTGGGCGCGTTGCGGTTCCCGTTGCGTCTCCACAATTGCGGATGAGATTGAGAGGATTAGTGCCAACATCCGCCACCCGCTGCCATGCCTGCGTCTGCACCGTCTCTTCTTGTCTTTGCAGCTTACGCGCCCCTCAACATATATAAACCGCCCAATATCCTCCCAGTCCCCAGCATCCCCTTGGATTCTACCTCCTCGTCCCAAATCTCGCCCACCATGCGCCTCTCCCTCACCTCGTTGTCCTCTTGCCAGTAGTTGCCCTAGCCATCCCCACTGCCCGTAGGTCGCACACGCCGCATCTCTCCCTCTACGCACCAGCACTAACTATACCACTGATAAGACTCTGCTGCTTCTAGGCTCAGAAACGTTTGTTCTATATGACT